TCTTATGAAGCGGATTGCTCGAGAAGTTCTTCACTGGTCGGGGATCCTTTCCTTTTAAAGGTACGACGTTAGATGTTCCGCAAGTATTTCGTGTAGGCGATGTCTTCCAGCTCTCAAGAGGTCGGCCGAAATATGGTCCGGTCCCGGAGTCGTGGCTGGTCTAAATTGCGGTGCTACTCCAGCAGGTGAAATCCGTGGTTGTATTTCTCTAGTGGGAATAAGGGGGTTTGACACGGGTGTTGACGAGCGAAATAGATTGGTGTAGAATCTCTTCGTAGTCGATATCCTTTGTCGGGAAGATGCGCGAGTTCCCTCTTCGTTTTTTAATGTTGTAGCAAAACACGATAGTCGAGAAGGTCCCTGCGGTATTTCTTTAAACTCCTCCTTCATTGTGCTGCTTCCAGAAGTTTCGATTGCCTGTATCTCCAAAGATTTTCTTGCAAAGCTGTTCTGTAACTGGTATTGGCTACCAGTCGCTCGAGATGTGATGCAGTCGGATCCAGCCTCAGTGTTCTCCTCCTCTTTAGCAAATCCTTGGTAGCTTTCTATATTCGTTCCTTGTTTGAGGCATTGAGGTTTCTCCACAGGCCCTCAGTCCTCTGAGAAGCAGGTCGTAGTCTTTCGTTGGGTCTTCGTCGATGGGCCAGTCACAAGTATTAGTTAGGAGCTCCTCCAATCTGGCGCCGTCATATACGCCTTCCCTCCTTTCTCCAACACGCTGACAGATTTTCTTTTCCACCTTTCGGCTGAAAAAGGCGGCGGATAAGAGCTCAACAAGACGGTTATCATTCTCATCTCGGAGTCCTGATCCAAATCTCCCCTCCTGTGCTCCCATTCTTCTGGCATCCCGACTTTTTTATAGAAGTCACCTCGAACTTAGAAAATGAGTTTTCTTTGCGAACGATTTCCTTTGAATCTTCATAAAAAGCATCAAGTTTGGAATCACCAGCTGCTGATGTTGAAGAATAGCAGTTGATGATAGTGATGGTTTTCTGATGCAGAGGATGGAGTCAAAGGATATTCAGGCGAGGTGATAGGATCTCACGTGAATCGAGAAGATGGACAACAGATGATATGCGACAAATCCAACGCCTCCAACGTTCCGTGATGGAACTTTCTCACCACAAATGATGAGTGTGGCATCACTCAGCTGCCTCACGCCCGTCTTTCTGGACTTTGTTTCCTGCAATTCGATTACGTGGTAGCTAATGCGCCCTGCAGCTTCGAGAAGCGCTTGAAGATCGGCGTTGGTGGAGACTGTCTGGCGTTGTGGGTGCAGAGCATGAGACAATCTGCATGGCGAGTCGTTGACGTGTCCTTTGGTCCGAAATCCATGGCATTCTGTGCAACCTGACACTGATGATGACATCCGACGCTGTAGATGTGATCCAATGTGCGGGGTTCTTTTTTTTTACATGATGGGCAATAGAAAAAACTTTTCCCTAACATTAGCGGAGCCTTGCCAGGGCCCGCCAAGCTTTCGCCACAGGCAATCGCTGACATTAGTGGATCAGGGAATCACCTAGCAACTGAGCCAGCCATACGGTGGTGCATCTCAAATGACCTGCTCTTAGCTGGCATCCGGGAAGCCGGAACGTCGAAGTCCTTCTTACCTTGGGAAACCCTGCTGGAGGAAAAACCTCCGCTGTACTTCGCAGCTCGAACCGAGTCCCCCGCGCTAATATGAGGCGGTAGCCATTACGGAGGTACGTATACCACTGCAAGCATAATAAAAACATTTGATTGTGCAGTGCATTGCATCTACTTTCGAATAACAAATAGCCATTTTTGAAGAGCGGCAACCATTAGTTG